TCGGACATCCCTTCGTGGCGCCTCCAGTTCTTCTAGGGGTGAGACAAGAAAGCTTCCGAAAGCTCATAACCATGGCCTTCGCTTCTATCAATTTCCGCCTTAAAGCAGCGCCCCCCCCACCCCGAGCGGCCAGGCCACATATGTGAATGTGTCTTGTGGTCCTTACATATCTATTCCATGCAAAAATGTATGTGCATCCAAATATATGGGAAGAAACCCTTGTATGCAGCTCGCGAGCAGTAGCTGCATATTCCGTCAATGAGAAAGAGATCAGGGGCTTGCAGATGGGCACACTCACATGCATGCATGCATGTGTGTATGCGCTCAAGCACGCAAGCACGCACAGTGATCCATCAGGGCCGCGCTTTAACTTTGAGATTGGAACTGCGGGGTCGTTGGTGGGAGGTTGGTGATGGGAAGGGAACGGGGAAAGACGGGCCGGGCCATATGGCGGTTTTTGGGATATGACAGGTTACATTTGATTCCATCGAGTGCTGGGAGTAGATAGGTGTTTCCGTCGCATACCCCCTCTCATCCGGCCATCCAGTAGTAGTTGGATTTTGAAGAGTCCTGATCTAAAAGGGACGAACGGAAAAACCTCACAAGGGCGCTCGGAGGGATGGAGAGTTGGTTCATTATCAAATTTCTGTGAGAAACGAAGGAGGGCGAAAAAAAACTATATATCTATATATAGCCCAGGTTAACTCTTCCCATCATCTCCCGTCTCAACAGGATCAATCATATCAAGTGACTAGAATTTTAATTCTCTCCTAGGGGACAGGTATCCTATCAATGCTTCTCACTCTTGATCCTTTACCGACCTTGCTTGACTTGACGGTCACGCATAGAGAAATGTATGCATGCATCATTCTTCACTTTGTTCACTTGCATACGCCTGCAATGCAAGTGTCAAAAATAGGAGATGAAACAAAGTTCCATGGATTACATGAACAGGAGATCTGGTTTGGAGCCGTCGTTTTGTCTCCCTTACTGGATTGAATGAATCCTTTCCTACCTCTGTGCACCAGTAGGCTCCACGCCTCATCCCACCTTTGTATTTCTAATTGAGAACCCCCTCCCCCTCAAAAAAAAAAAAAAGGGCAAGAAAACTGTCACAACAATGAAAAGCGGAAAATGAAAGCCGAGAAACGCCGCCTGATATCTCTCTACGCTAACGGAAGCTACCTCTCGCATGCACGATCAGCAAGAGATGATGGGTCTTTTTAAACCTTAAAAAAGCCCACTTTCTTTTGTGACGAGTATGGTTGGGATAATTTTTGAGTGGAGATGTGCAGAATATGAATATCATAAACTCGAAAATTTCGTGTTATATCAATAGTTAATGGTTCCAGTCTTTCTCGCGAGGAGGACGAGGATGTGGATAGCTATAAGAAGTACTGTACATGTACTCCTTGCATACTTTCAACAGGGCTTGTGCTTCCTCTTGGCTTTCCAATTTCCAGATATACAATAGGAAATAAGTTTGCCGAACCAGAAAAAGTGAAACAAAGTGCAAAGCTTAAAACGGGTAGATCAATTGTTTTCGCAGTGATACATTTATGCTCCCCGACAAAAGAAAATATGACAAGAACAACAAGGGAAATAGTAAAGTCACTTGGAGGATATCAAGTGCGAAAATAGCCGAACAGATAATGATATATCTGCGACATGCAGTCTAAGGAGATGAGTGTTGATGGTATGCATGTATATATGCTTCCAAAGGGCCGGGAGAAAGGCGTTGAAAATAAGTTACAGAAGCGATACTTGAAAAAAAAAAAGTAAGAGAAACGGAAACAAAAATACAAGTTGAATACAAGGAACAAGGAGATATGAATAGGAAGGTACTAAATGATAATCACGCTCATTTTGGCGCAGCAGATTCTCCCGCCGGAGGCTTCAATCCGGCCGCCATCAGAGCATCAGGTAGTATAATTGGTGCCTTGGGTATCGATTCAAGCTTATCCAATTTTTCTCCCCTCAATACTTTTTCCATCTCGTCCTTCGTCAGTGTTTCATATTCCATCAACGCCTTGGTTAATAGCTCTAGTTCCTTTCGGTGTTCTGTGAGAATTGCCGTTGCGCGTCGACTTGATTCCTCGACTAGGCGTCTGACTTCAGCCTCGATTTCTTGCTTGGTCTCTGAAGACAATGACTTGTAGTTTGAAATAAGGTCTATAGAGCCTAGTTTTTTCGAGTACCCATATTGAGTTACCATCGAGAAGGCAGTGTTGGTTGCACGTTGAAGGTCCTATTCGCACAAGAACAGGAAGTTAGCTAAAGGACGAAACAGCAACCAAAGGTGCAAAGACTTTATAAACAAGAGCAAACATACCGATGATATACCGCTCGTGACGTTTTCAGGTCCAAAAACAAGCTCTTCAGCGGCCTTACCGCCCATAGACACGTCGATATCCGCCAAGAACTCAGTATAATTCCGCGAAACAATGTCCATTTCCGGGAGGAAATGCGTGGTACCCAATGACATGCCTCTCGGGACAATAGTAATTTTATATAATGGGGTTGCAGCAGGAGAGAAGTACGCGACAAGAGCATGTCCTGCTTCATGATATGCGGTGAGCAGCTTGTCTTTCTCCCGCATAACCCTGCTGCGCGCCTCAGCCCCCATCATTATTTTGTCCTTGGCCCAATCAAAATCTTTCGGGCCAACCTTGGTTTGTTTGTTCTTGCTGGCATGAATGGCAGCTTGGTTGACAAGGTTTTCCAAATCGGCACCAGAAAAGCCAGGCGTTCCACGAGCAATAACGGTAGTATCGACATCTGTGCTTATTTGGACGTTTTTCATATGGTGCTTTAAGATATCGACGCGGCCACGGACGTCAGGAAGGCCAACCACCACCCTGCGGTCGAACCGGCCAGGCCGTGTTAGCGCTTTGTCGAGTAGTTTTGGATAGTTGGTTGCCGCAATGATAATGACGCCAGTAGACTGGGAGAACCCATCGAGTTCGGTCAGAAGTTGATTCAGAGTTTGCTTTACGTAGGCGGCATCTCGCTCATTTCTCTTTGCTCCGATTGCATCCAATTCGTCAATGAATATGATCGCAGGCGCCTTGGTTCGGGCTTGATTGAACAGTTCGCGAACACGCTTGGCTCCCACACCAACATATACCTCATCGAATTCAGACCCAGACATATAAAAGAAAGGTACGCCAGCCTCTCCGGCAACAGCTCGAGCAAGTAAAGTTTTTCCAGTACCAGGGGGCCCCAACGAGGAGAACACCTTTGGGGAGTTTACCACCAAGATTGTTGAAGCGTTCAGGGTTGGGTCAGAAATTCGACCAGTTCTTGAAGCTCCTCCCTTAGCTTCGTCGCAGCCATGGACATCACTGAATCGAACTTGCTGGTGTTGCGGTTGGGCTTCGTTGGGCTGGGAACCTCGGACATTTTTCAGAATGCCGGTAGTGTCCGCGATGATGTTGATCACGACGAAGGAGACGTAAGTGAAAAGCAGGAAAATAAAGATGAACTTAACCCAGCGGTAAATCGAGCTTGACAAAGATTCCTCCACCACAACGTAGAGAGGAGATTCCTTTGCTCCAGTACCGTCCTTTTTCGTAGATAATCCGATTTGAGCTCCATTCATATGGGCAGCGACCGCCTGTCCAACTGCTTGTAGTTGGTCGTTGTTGAGATTCTGATTTTGAGATTGAAATTGATTTTGTCCAGGTCTGAGACCAACCGAAGCATCCAAGCCGCCGACCCGCTCAAGAGCCTTAAGGTACGTAGCCTCACTGAAACCATCACCAGCATATTTCCCACTCCGATATCGTTCAATGATGATTGCAGGCATGTTCGCGCGAAGCAGGGCGCTGTAAAACGCATTTTGGGCGCTCACGCTATGTGGTTTACTGTTTGCAGTTCTTTCAGTGTGGGCTAATACATTCTGAAACGGACCTCCGTAAAGGAATCTGTGCTGTTGAATTTGCGGAATGCCTTTCACTTTCGGGATACTCCGCGAGCGGTCGAGTTGAAGGAGAGAAATGGTAGAGAACTGACGAGGCGAGCTCGATTTGACAATGTTCGGGGCCGAAGAAAATCTGCTGGTCCAGATAGTTGTCCGAGTTGCTAAAACCGGATTGTTAGTCAAGTGGAAGGGGATCTAGGCAGTAGGTTTTAACGTACGAGAATAAAATATCGGCGACAAGGTGTGCTGGCCAAACAGGATGTTCGTTTTGGAGCCGTTTCGCAGAGCTGTCATTGGGACTGATTTCAGGCAGTCAGGGAGGACCAGGTGAGATTGAATCTGGGATAATTAGTAACACCTCCTGTAGTAATTTTTAGCCTAGCAAAGACTTACTGTTGGAGATTCATCCCGGTGTCTCCGGAGCACTTCATTACGTTCTTTGCCCGGGGAAATCTCCGATGATGGCCGACTGAAACGCTTCCATGGAGCTGCCAAAGCATTAGCCACCGAGGGCCAGAGATCCGTCGTCACAGCTGCCGCATTTTGCATATTCTTTGCTACCAGTAAGCAATGTATTTTTGCCAAATGAGGGGAAGAGATGGGTGTATTCCTTACAGGCAGGCAGAGCGGAGAGGGAAAAGCCATCTTGCAGAAGGCGGAGTCAGCCAAACGATGGGAATAACTCTTGATTTGGCTGTATAAGAGTTAGGGTCTCAGTTGAGTGAATCCATTCAGCATAAATAAGATGCCAGAGCCATTGTTGAGAAGCCAAACAAGACCAGGGCGTTGTGAGTTGAAGATGAGTCGTTCTCGTTCGCGACAAGTGGCGGCGAATTTGACTAAAGTTCGATCATATATTGCCACTTTGGTCTAAGAGTCGCTCCGTAGCCAAGGATCGCCGCCAACAGGAAGAGCTATTCATCAGGACCATATAAAGTTCCGGTATTTGGAAGCAGCAGAACGGAAGACTGGTTTCCGATTTGTTCAGGTCTAGCAATCGCCTAAGGAAATGCCATTTTTCTTTCAATCAACTTCCTGTGAGTTAGGAATCAACAAACTTCATACATGTTCCGCAACCTTAGGTAGTATAGCCCAAACAAATCACGTGATTTAATGAACCTTCCAGAACAACCCGGACTCGATGCTCTTCATGGAGCGAATACGGAGTAGAGAGTCTACTAGCTGCGTGGGATGCCCGAGCTTATTTAATGTACCGATTCGCTTTTTTGCTTTCCAACTGATAAACGCGACATTTTTGTAAGGTTCTTGGTTGCAAATATGTACCAAGTGGAAACTCGGCAATCAGCTATCAGCTATATGCTAATGTCCGGGATGTTTGTTGCTCAAACACTGAAAATTAGTCGCCATCCATGCCGGTGAAGGTTTTAACCTTAACGGGAGCACCCCGCCCCAGGGCTCTCAAGTGGGATGAGTCAGAGCTTCTGAACGAATGCTGGTTTTGCAGCCTTGGTTTTGTTGATGGATGTCGTGTTACAACGGCGGGCTCGGTTCGTTGGCGGCGTGTTGAGAAACGTGAGGGGCATTACGGCTTCCCAGGAGAGCATGACGAAGTTGACAAGATTCATGATTATGACCATATGAATGATGGAGATACGGAGTTTTTTGCACTGGGTGGTGCGATTGAGAGGCACACTGGTTTACAGGCAACAATGGATACTCAGGTGGAAACTGGGTCGGAATTCTACGACCATTCCTTTGCCCTGCATGAAGGGGGAGGGGATTCTAGTATACCGAGCGGGATGGAATCATTCTACGCAGAATCCAACTTCGAGACTACGTTGGACGATACCAGTATAGTCAGTGGGGCGGACCACTTGACGGAGTATCATAACAGCCCTCAGCATCCTCTACCACCACCTTTAACTGGTAATTTGAGTAATCTAGAAGATATCCCTAACGCTGCTTATCTCCATTCGATTTCCCCTCGGATGATCCCTATCAACCTGATCGTGGCGATAATCACAATATACCCTCGCAAACGAGTACGAACTCGTTGGGGTTATGAGACCGAGGTTGTCGAGTTTGTGGTGGGTGATGAAACGAGGTCAGGATTTCAGATCACTTGTTGGTTGCCGCTCAAGGGTGAACCGCGAGATGGCGCGAAGGAAGATCTCTATGGGACGATACTAGGGTTGCGTCCACGAGATATCGTTCTTTTCCGGTCTGTGGCGCTAAACAGCTTTCGGGGTAAGGTTTATGGCCAGACTTTGAAGGGTAACATGACGAAAGTTGACCTTCTGCACCGTGCGCTCGTTGGCCCTGACGATGATGGAGGTCTGTTCACTCTCCAGGCCCTTGCTGATGGAACGACCGATTGTCACCCACAACTAATGAAGGTGCGCAGAGTCAGAGATTGGATTTTAAATTTCATCAGTCCTCATGTTTATGGAAAGGTCGGGCAATCGTCAGTTCGACCCGGAGTGCGAGGAGACGAACGGTGTCTCCCACCAGATACCCAATAAGTGGAGAAAGAATTTTATTGATCACGTTTTGGTAAAGAACTACTGGAGAATTTACGTTCTCGGCTTGGGGTCCAAAGGTGGTGGTTGGTTTAACTTTCGGCGTATTTAAACCCTCCATTTCCACCGTTTGCAGTGAGAAGCCGTGAAAAACAAAGATCATTTGATGGCATAGGGAAGGAAATTCCGGACTGACTTTTTGTATTTTAGTCGTTGGCTCGATGTTTCGCAGTACAAATTTAGGGGATGTTTTTGGTCATGAGATGAAGAACGACTATTGGAGAGCGCTAAGTTTCAGGGACATTCAATTATGTTTTTGCTAATATTTTTTTTTTTTTTTTTTTTTTTTTTTTTTAAATTTTCTTGGAAGGTGTCGAGATCAAGTCGTCAGAACCCAAGTTTCAATACTACCCATTATTTCCACTACAGCTTTTTGGTTACTTGAGTTGTATCTTTAATTGACAAGCGTTCTTTGTCCTTCGTCCTCCGCATTGAACAATCTTCCCCGTGACTGATCGGTTGAGCCGAGGGGAATAGAATCTAGATTCAACAAACGATGATATCCGGGAAAAGCGTCCATGCATGGATCAATGTCTTATTATAGCCTCTTTATTATAGCCTCTACGCGGACAAATTACAAGCCCTGAGCCAGTCACGGGCGGGAGATGGATCGCCAGCAGCATCAGATGACAGCAACCGGCGGCGTCTTAAATTTAATTCAGTTGTCTGGCCCGGTCGTGCATTGATGGTACTTATGGCAGAGGTACCATGGGAAGTGCTCCTCACGTAATTTGCTAGTGATCGCCGTTGGGTGTACTTTATACCGAAGTCACCACTGGCCCGTGTCTACTAGTGTTGTCCAAGTGGAATCGTCGCCCTTGGCTTAGCAACCCACATCTTTTTCTTCATCCCCTTTCCTTTGTTCTCAACATCCTCCCCAACACTCAAATAGTTTCTCATACTATTGCTCTCTTTGTTATTTGCTCTCTTTTCTCCTTACCTAGTCCATTGCACGCTCATTTATACTCCACGTCACTCGCACCCTCAGAATCGAGGCCAGTCTTCGCTGGCGCCATCCCTTTGCTCCCCCTTAGTCCCCACATTTGATATCTCAACCCCATCATGAAGGGTAAGATTCGGTCCCGTTTGCGATGTTCCAAACAATGCAATTGATCCCATTTACTGACCTTTTTCTTTTCGTGTTTTACAGCCCTAATTCTCGTTGGGGGGTTTGGAACTCGTCTGCGCCCCCTGGTATGTGCATCTCTCACCGCAAAATGCGAACCTCCTCTCCCTCTTTCGAAAAGGTACAAGGGGCGTGTCCGATTCTCATACCTTTGACTAGACCCTTACCCTCCCCAAACCTCTTGTGGAATTCGCCAACCGTCCCATGATCCTGCATCAAGTTGAAAGCTTAGCCGCTGCCGGTGTAACAGATATTGTTCTCGCGGTTAATTATCGACCAGATGTCATGGTCTCAGCGCTTAAGAAAGTAGGTGTTTACATATTCTGGTATTAGCTTGCGGTGCTGCTGCTTGCAAAATCAAAGAAAAAAATATGCTGATCGGTGGCGGAAAACCACACATCTAGTATGAGGAAATATATAACGTAAAGATCGAATTCTCAGTCGAATCGGAGCCTCTAGGCACTGCTGGGCCCCTCAAGCTTGCAGAGAAAATCCTTGGAAAGGACGACAGCCCTTTCTTCGTTCTCAACTCAGACGTAATTTGCGAGTATCCCTTTGCAGAACTAGCTGCTTTCCACAAGAAACACGGAGACGAAGGAACTATTGTGGTAACAAAGGTGGAGGAACCGTCCAAATACGGTGTCGTTGTACATAAGCCAAATCACCCATCCCGCATTGACCGCTTTGTGGAGAAACCTGTTGAGTTTGTTGGCAACCGCATCAATGCCGGCATCTACATCCTGAACCCTAGCGTCCTTAACCGTATTGAGCTCCGTCCTACCTCCATCGAACAAGAAACGTTCCCGGCCATATGTAAAGATGGCCAGCTTCATTCCTTTGACCTGGAGGGATTTTGGATGGACGTTGGACAGCCCAAGGATTTCCTTACCGGTACCTGCCTATACCTTTCTTCACTCACCAAGCGCGAGTCGAAGGTCCTCTCTCCACTTTCAGAGCCATACGTTTATGGAGGAAATGTATTGGTCGACCCTTCTGCCACGATTGGGAAAAACTGTCGTATTGGACCTAATGTCGTGATTGGGCCGAATGTCGTTGTTGGCGATGGAGTACGACTTCAGCGTTGCGTCCTGCTCGAGAATAGCAAGGTGAAGGACCACGCTTGGGTAAAGTCGACGATTGTCGGATGGAATAGCGCTGTGGGTAGATGGGCACGACTGGAGAATGTTACCGTCCTTGGGGATGATGTGACTATTGGAGACGAGGTCTACGTCAATGGAGGTTCTATCCTCCCTCACAAGAGCATCAAACAGAACGTTGACGGTATGTATTTTGTTCCATATTCCTCTTGTGTTACGTTCACATGTATATCCGTAACTGACAAAAACACTTGGAAAAGTTCCCGCCATTATCATGTAACCCTATCCCACTTCTCGAACGACTATATGCACCTTCTCTGCTTTCCGCTAGAAAGATCTAACACCTCAACAACCAAGAAACAAGAACACATCTTCTTATAATCACATTTGAAAATCCATTTTCATTTATGGATCGGAGTCGTGCCTTGCAAGATCATTGTCAACGGTGTACGGTGTGATGTATGTTGCATGTTGCAAATGAGACGCCAAAAGAAGGTGACAGAGGGTGTGTACAGTTGATATTCGGATCTACTTGAAAGCTCACCGGAGCATCCTCATTAAATGAAAAAAAAAAAAGAAGGTTTAAAATGGGTGGGTCATGTCTATAGATCGGAAGGGTGTTGAAGAGGTTGAAAAATTCCTTTTTCCGCTTAATTTGTTCTCCTCTTCCCTGGTTGTCTTCTTAATACGTCGTCACTCATTTATGTCAATTGGGTGGGGGGAAAAAAACGAAAAAATATCTTTTGCGAGCGAACTTATCTACTTCGAGAGAGATCCTGTATGCTCATCTGCATTCATCATATATGCCTGCATCTTCTTCGTTTTCTTCATCTTTTTTCTCCGCTCCGCTCCATTTTCTGCCTTGGTTTTGCGTTTTCGCCTGGGGTTCGGGGACTTGTTTTATTTTTCCTCTTTACATTCGCCTTGTCCTCATTCATGCAAGCTCTGTGGTGCATCGTCAAATTCCCCTTCCTTTCCACAAATATATTTTTACATAATATCCAAACATAGTTTACATGTTATTTATTTTACTTCCCATGTTTGGCTGATACGCTGCAGGATCTGGCTCGAATTTTAAATCTAGTTTATTTTCTCTTATTCCACTTTGACTGCCTGTGTAATGTTCAGGGCCTCGCCAATTTCTCCACGTTCCCATACTAGGAAAATGAATACGAGAGTATACGCTGTAGTTAAACAACGTAGGACGGGTAGGTAGGAGCAACAAAGCATGGAAGCGTGATTGGTAGCAACGGACCGCTCTGACGCCAGTCGACAACTGTGTATTATTATAATTAGCCCCCGCTAAGCGGGTATTATCTGGGTTGTGGTGTAGGTGTTATGTCTGGAGTGAACGAATCTATTACAACAATTCTAGCAAGTGTTCAAAATATGAGTCAAGAAGAAAAAAAAAAAAAAAAAAAAAAAACCAGAACAAGCGCCGGTAATAAAATAAAAGATAGAAAGAGGGGACCCAGTCTCACAGGGGGAGGAAACCATCCCCAAAACGTGTATCGCCAATAGGACCAATCTTTCCAAGGAAAGGATGCAATGGCATTAATCGAAATCCCACGGATCCAATTAAAAATAAGACGAAAGATATTACAACCCACCCACTATCCCCATTTCCTCCTCCTCCTTCTCCAATAGCTTCTCCCACCGCACCCTCAACTCCTCCATCTCCCGCCAACATCTCCTCCCCAACTCCTCAAACTCCATCTTCTCCTCAGCCGTCAAATCTTTTGCCCCCGCCTTCCTCCTCCGCCTCTTGTCCTCCTCCAACACAGCAGGACCAACCACACCGCCATAACCCCAACCATCCACCTCCGTACACACGGCGCTTATCCGACCCAGTCTGTCACAGGATGATCCCCATTTTGGTTTCCCACCACCTAGACGCGCATAGACATCCTCAGCCGCATCCAAGACAGGCTTGGGCGAGAGCGCTAGCCAGACGGGCGCGTAGGCGCCACTGTAGGTTGAGATAGTGTGCCAGGGCGACCCGAACATGCGGGCGAGCCAGAATACAGCGATCATGGCGTAGAAGAGGGGGAAAACGAGGGGCATGATGGCCGTGCCACAGACGCCTGGGTGGGCGACGTAAATGCTCGGTTTTGGGCGTGAGCTGGTAGGGGCGTGGTGTGCGGTTCCATTCTGCTGTAGTTTCGTAGCAGTGGTAGTTTTCGACGCGGATAAGAAGGTGTCAACCCACGGCGACGAGCTGGGGTGCTCTGAGGTCAGAGCGAGGACGTCCGTAAGGTGCTTAGAAGCCTGGTAGGCGGATCGGGTATTGAGCGCTTGGAAGTCTGAGAGATCGAAATGTTTGCTTGTTGCTTCGATGCTGGATATCCAGATGATGCGACCCGGAGAGGTTTCAGAGGCGGAAAGAAGGGGCATCAATGCATGATTGAGCATGTAGTGTCCAAACACATTCGAGCAAAAGATGTCTCCCAGCGGAGGCTCATCGGGCTGCGAGGTTTGTTTTTTGACGAGAACCCCTGAACAGGTGAGTGTAAATGCCGACGGGTATGTGACTGCGTTCACGAGGTCTGTCAAGGTAAGATATAACGCCTTGAAGAAATTGACGCCGGTGAACCCAGCAGTGCCAGCATTCAGAATGACGGCATCCAGCTTCGGGAGTGAGGCCCGCAACCGACGTGACAAGGCACGCACCGACAGTAAATTGGCTAGGTCAACATTTTCCGGTTTGAGCGTCACGCGGTTCTTGGGCGTTGCGTATTTGGCAGCAGAGTTATTAAGGTGTGCTTGGAGGAGGGAGAGGGTTTCGGCACTCTTTTTGGCGCTGCGGGTGGTAAAGAGAAGGGTTAGGCACTTGGATTCTGGGCGTGTTGTGAGGAATTCGTCAATTGTGCGACAACAGATAGAGAACCCGAGGCCGCTGTAGGTGAATAAACAAGAGGAGAAAAGTGGATTAGCTTGGACGAATTGACAGGGGAGAGCTGGCTGGCTTGTTTCAAAGCGTACCTGTTTGTGCCTGTTACGAGAACATAGGTCTCGTCGGACTCAAAAGAGTCCGGCCGGTTACTGTTGGAGTCCATTGCAATTGATGTCGTCAGGGGTTCGGTCAAAGAAGCTGAAGATCCAAAAACCAAGGGATTTTATAGAGGCTGCTTCTCATTGGCTGGAGGTCCAACCGCAGGATTGGTAACGAAAGGGTAAACGTTGTTACAATTCGTTTGAGTGCTGAGAACCGTGGCCTAACTGCTACAAAATGGCCGTGCTCTTTTTCCGATTTAGATATCAAATTAATTGGGACAATGAGTTGGTTGGGACGGATTCCGTAGGCACACTGTCGAAAATGTTTGCAGCTTTACGCTGTAGGGGCGTGCCTGCATAAATTTAAGCCGGGATCCCCTGACAAGCGGCGGTTTGGGCTTGGGGCCATGATATCGGGATGGAAATCTGTCGATCTGGACATTTTCCCTTTTTATTCTACAAGCTTCAGAACCTCGAGCTTGAATCTTTCTCTTACCCTCCCTCTTCTTTCCTCTTGTGCAAGGTATGATAGCATTGAAGCGAGTTGATGCGATATGGGTCCTGCCAACTGAACCTGTTGCAGAGATCAGAAATTTTTGGTGCCCATTACCGCGCTTAAAATGCTCCGTTGGCGGCCCCGGAATCGACCCTATATATGATGCGTCATTTTCGAATGTTTCCTACAGTCACATAGAGTGTTTTCCCTGACATGCTACCCAATTTGGCAGGGTTGATTCTGAGGATTCTGAGATTTTTGTTTTTAGATTTTTGTTTTTTTTCTGTTTATCTCTCTACTCCGTATTCGTCTGTGAATTGTATAGATGCAAATCCATTTTCATGGACGCTATTTCTTTGAATCCAGAGACATTGTAAGGGTGATCCGACTTCGACAAACGCGTTTCAGTTCGTCCTTTCTTGCTCTTGCCCTGCCTCCTTAATGCGATCGATGTCTTTTGTTTCCATCAATCCCCCATTTCTCCCACGATGCAACAGCCATTGTTCAAATAGCGACGCCGCATTGTTACCCTGCATAACTAAAAAATCGGTTAAGGTTTGTCATGTGACTAGCTAGCGCATAAGCTTATCACTCTAATCCCTCAATCTGATTAACGTTGTGCTAACATCATTCATTCAAGTTTGTTTTGACCTCTTCCGATTATTTTGAGTATGATGCGACAGAATGTCAGACCCTGCCATATGGTAGGTGCGGAAATCAGCTATGTTGTGGGGACTAGAGTACCTTGATATGTGTCATGCCATTTGGCACAATTGACTCTGGTGGTAACCTCATCCCCACTTCAACAAGGCATGACTACCATCGCGCGATATACTAGCAAATTTTCTCGAACCTCTTTCATTATGTTTCTTTGCAAAAAAAAATAAAATAAAAAAATAAAAATAAACAAATAAATAAACAAATAAAGGTTTGTTTACAAGGTGGAGTCTCCTTGGAATCCAGTGGCTTTCTCCCACAAAGGTTCTCTGTGTGATTCTTTGAGCTCAGAGCGGAGCGATAGCCGGAAGCGGAATGAGCCAGGAAGCTTGTATTTCCAGAGGTCTTCTACCTCAATCCTTTTGCCTAGCCTATTCATTGCCCTGGCGTTTGGCTTTTTACTTGTAACGGCGAGCCCCAATGATGGAGCTGATTGTGGAGCATCCACTCGAGTTTATCAGCTAAGTAGTGGGTTATGATTAACTCCTATCACACAATGATAGCTATATTGTTGCTCGTTTACACCAGTCCTGTTTCCATGGCAATTTCAAACTTACTATTTGATGTAAGTACATATTTGATTGCATTGTCCTTAAGGATCTCACCTCTCTCGATTTCTTTCACTTGAATGATCTGTGAGGGATGAAATCCACCTCTGGCAAACTTGCTGCTAAGTTGACTATCCTACTTACGGTGGACTATATTACAGTGGCAATACATACATTATTGGTTTTATTTAGCCTTATCCAACCTGGCTCTGTCTTGTAAGTGTATATGAAATTCCCTATAAAGCTCACATGGTACTCTTCAAATTGCAGCTAACGACGGGGAACAGCTATTACACCATTTAGAATATCTAGAATATATCAAAGTGAATGCGGTCTACTGATTATTAGCTATCCCTGATATTCCCTCGTTATAGATCATATGTTACAACGAAGAGCGGAAGCAGCCACCGGAGAATATTCCGGCGCAGCTATGATTACAGGGCCTATAACAATATCGGTCACGACTGTTGACCATTCCTTAATACCCACAAGCTCTGCAACCTTTTCATCAACTTCTATCACCAGAATATCAAGCACCTCGATGGACAAGAGAATTGGAGCCTTGGGATCCAGAGATCTTGGGCCTGGAGTTGCTATTGGGTCTTGCACATGGCCAACTGAAGATGTTACCGTAACAGATTCAAACCATCATACAACTGTCTATCCCCAGATTCTCTGTAGGGACAATACGAAACACTGCTGCCCACTTGAGGGAACACCTGATACGCCTCTATCGGCATGCCCGCAGGGCTATGTGAGCGCAGGGGAGAATGCATGCTGCCCACGGTGAGTATGAGCTTAAAGTTTTTCCAAATACCATTCGCCAATCGATACTGAAGAAGCTCTGTGCTAGCGGTTGGTCGGTTTTTAGTACTTTACTCGGCACGCAAACCCCATGCTACAGCAAATTTTCGACTGCTGTACCCCCAGCCGCGACTGCAAGTGCAGACACCAGTACCACAACCATCCGCACAGCTCTATTCGCGAAGAAATATGACATCGTTCCTTCGCAGACGGCACAACCTTCGGCGTCTCCTACTACTACCTCTCCAGCTTCTTCAGAGTCTTCAGAACAAACTCTTTCAAGATCACGGCGGTTGAGCGACAGAGAAATTGCCGGCGTGGTCACAGGCTCGGTGTTAGGCGTCCTATTATTTTTGGGGATCGCAGTCGTGCTTCTCCGCAGATGGAAACGGTCCAAAGTCACTGTGGATGACCTGATTCGCCAGCCGACTAAAGGCACCCACGAACTCGCGCCAACCGACAACCAATATCCGGCCAAGCAACCTCATGATGAGTCGTGGACGACGGGAACGACGCAGAGTGTTCCGATTAATCCGGCTAATAGCAACCACCATATACCCATGGCCTATTTGACAAACATAACCCCTACAATACGCACTGTCGAACCACAGGAGCTGCCCGGCAATACATTTATTAATGAATATCATCCGGCTTATCGAAATGATCCGTGTCCGTGGAGAGTTCAACCATAGCCCATTTGCTCTTCGCTGGACCCTTAAGATGTTTTTCTCTCTCGCCATTCATTCTCAGTTACATCCCAGCTATTTGCTACAAATTTTTAATATATAAGTGACAGCCCATGTTAAGCAATATTTTCTCGTGTATTTAAGGGCGGGAGGTAGCAGATTATTTTTATTAATGTTGATTTTTTCTATTATTCAGCGAGGTTTTACATTATTTTCTTCGACCTAGGCGATGACTGAAAATATGAAGTCTGCCTCAGAATTTATACGGATCATTTTGAAAATGTTGCTTAAAATTTAGGCCCTGGTGGTAGTAACTCTCTTGGAGAAGCGCGCGCAACGGTACGTGTTGAGAGCAAACCTAACAGAATAAAGACATGGGGATCAACGATCCCAGTATCATCATGACTGTGCCTTTTGTGAAAGGAAACGAAGTGCACAACTCCACCAGAGAACGTAATTCAAAGAAAAGAGAGGTTCTATAAGCAGTATTCGCCACTATCTACTTAAAACCTCCTATTGTTTTTATCAGCAAGACACCTTATAAGCTGAACTTTTACTACCCACTTCCCATGCCCTTTGAAAGACCTCTCTGAAACCAGTCCAGTTTCAACTCTGAACGGCTGGTCCCGGATACAAGGCTCCATGTACCCGTCCCTCGCTCACTTTGTAGATACGAGATTCGTACACGTTTGGCATGCTCTAGGGCAAATCAGCTACAATGTCAAGCATGGCTAGCAACGCAAAAGGAGCTACTCTTTAACCGGTTCCCTCAATTCAGAAGCTACAGTTGTTGTGTTCAAAATGCCAAAAGCCCATGACGGTGTCCTTTGGTATCCTATTTGCCCGATAAAACGGGAAAGTAGATAGGGGTGGTTCCTCCCCCGGCCTCGTAAGATGCGGGTACTTATTGATTGGGATATACTCCATATAGTCAACTCCAATTCGAATGGGTTCTTGCCCGAAGGAATAATTTCCTCGAGAAAGATTCCAAATTAAAGCAAGCCCGGCCACCACTTAGTTTATATAATTGAGTGGGAATTATAACCTCACACTAGACAATACGGCGTAAATATTGCCAGCAGTAATCAAGGTGAGGGGGATTTCGATACCAGGGGTTCCCTGTCTTGCAGGCTGGCTCATGTATGGAAGCCCATTTGCGGGAGATCCTCACCCTGCCAGAGAGCAAGAATGGTGTGTTTGGATAGGTCTGACATTTTTCATGAAAGCAAATCGGTATTAGCTGGAGCATCAGGAGCGACCGTTAACGCTTGCCGCTGGACTGCTGGGCTTACTTCGGGAAGGTTGAGCTTCGGTGCGAACAGTCGATGTGTATTATGTCGGTCGCCCGCTACATATTTGGCTGGAATCAAAGCTAGGCGTGAAGGGATTGGGAGATTGAGATATCCTGTCAAAAGATCTCTGAGTCTTCCAGGCCTTGCCTGTCCGCTTCCTGGACCGAATACATAGCTCAATAAGCAGGAGGGACATTCGCACATCCTTGTTGTCAAGTGGGAGGTGGTATGCATGTTCCACCCAAACTAACACTCAGCAGATGCAAGGAGCAGTTCAACCGTAAGGCAAATCTCAATGGACATTTGGTATAAGAGGGAAAAGCAACCGAGGTGTTTTTCCTAGTGTCCCCAAGTCTAGGCCGTTCACCATTTTGACTGATATAACCGAAGTTTTGGACCGTCACGACAGATATATATGTTACGGGCATGCATGTCGCGCGGCCCTTCGTTTGTGATGAGCATTTCTCCTGCCCGATTTCTTGTTCGGGTTGTGGCTATCGGAAATCATCGGAGAACGGAAAAGGAGAGATTATTCGGAGCTTTTCGGTTTTATTTATACTCCTTTTACGCAGTAAATGAATTAGAACGAAATTAGGGAACCGAGCAGGGACCAGGGATGTATGCATACAGAACAGCGAACCTTACCGAACCGAGAGAATTGAGGTGAGGGGGAGAAAAAGAATTGCTTTATCCTGCAGGGAAGCGAAGTGCAGTGCATATAATTCCCCCTCTTGGCCTCAAGAATGACAGAATAACCAGTCCCAGTCCAGTCCCATGGCAAGTCTCCGAGTTGATGCGAACTTTTGTTTGGACGGACCGCTATTTTTGAGCGGAGGATTGTCCCAGAGCCACAAGAGATTCTCCAAGGCTGTGCTCGGCGTTTGACTTAGGCGCGATTCAACTGTTATCAACCTTGGATATGGTACGGTACATGTACCATACTCGGACGGAAACAGGAGCCTGCAGGCGCCCTTTTGGTTGGCTAAGGTGATGCTGGGCTTGACCATCCGGAGGCGAAGCATCGATTTCCCAACCCGCGACAGACATCGCTCCCACGGCACTGAGGCTTTTCGGCTCCAAAGACGATGAGACAGATGGACCGGGCTAACAAGGCCAGGAGCATCGCGACTGACGGATCCCCCAATATTAAATCGCATGCACGCTGATTGGCAGCTGGACACCGCGGAGATCACAGCCGAAATCAAATATTCCTCCCTGGGCGATTGCAATCATCCTGGGGTCCCTGGAGAGTTGAAGGAATCAACACATTTACCACGATGCTGTTAATCGAGGTGCTGACGATCACGCACAGGGTTGTTGTCTTCGATCAAGAGCCGAAATGTTCCTCTATTCCATCCATCATTGCTCCGTGGCAGTCGACCATTATTGAAGTTCCACAGCCAAACCCCCTCCCCCCCCCCCCCCTTTCCTCCCTCATTATTTTACAAGGCCGTGGGGAGATTTCAGGACCACGCTTAAATGAATCTTACACCTCGATTTCCTGGGGCTAAATCGAGGGACGGAAGCGCTAATCGTATACAAGCCACTCCAATCCACTAGTAAAGTGGACATCTTGTGTCAGCTATTTTGGATTCTGGCCAAACAGAGCAGTGGTTCCAGCAATCTGTATCCTCAATCAGAGATCAGCAGCCGTCTACCCAGATCTCGCTCTTCAGCATTTCCTCGTTTCGATGGTAATATTTCAAGAAGCCCGAAATTCCATCGGACGCTTGTTTCGATGCTTTCCACCAAACCCAAGGTTTCGGTCAACTCGGCTCCGTTAGCAACAAGTTTGATCATCCTCTGTGGCCCTAACTCCTCCCCCTTAGTGCGTCTGAGGTGGCCCGTCTCGCGACCCGTTCATCTACAGTGTAAGCAAGAATTTGGCTTTCAGACAGCGGAATTCCAGCCAACGGCACGCCGTTGGTTTGAGCTGAATAACATGCGTTCAGGTTTGAATACCTCTAGGGATTTGGAATCATTTCTCAGCCTTGCAAAAGATTTACACAGTAACTTGTGTGTGCAATAGGTAGCTGCAGCCAAGGATGTACCTCGAATCTTTCATGCTTGTTAACATCTGAAAGCTGAGTTAAATCGAAGTGAAAATGATAAAAAGCTTTTGAACATCTCAGTCGTGGTGTTTTTCACGAGTCACGACGCTTCTCAGTCTAAGGAGTAGCTCCTGACATTTTCTTTGACCTGGAAGAATGGAGCCGTGCAAAAGTTTGATCTCCACTTTTTAGAGTAGCCAGAAGCGGGAACTTGTATGGATTAACGACTCCATCAATGCTTGGCCCCCCTTGCCATTGCTGCCATAGCTGCCAACGATTTGTTAACTCTGGCGAAAGTGTGGTGTACGCCATGCGCCAATGTTATGTCTTGTATGTGTGATATTTATGTTGGTCTATGGCCGGTGTTCCTGCGTAGGTACTCCGTACTGTACGTGTACATTCCAGGACCTGTTTATTTCGCAGAGTATATATTCCGTATTGGAGTACGGAGTTATGATATTGAAGGAAGTCTCGCGAAGGAGAGTTCCTGGTCTGATATGTACTCGGTACTGCACTGCACAGTACATTATGATGACATTGCTGATATCCCGGAAGTATCTCTGCTACCGCCACGCAAAGTACCTGTGAATACTTTTCTATTTTGCTTTAGTGGTTAATAGTAACTATTCGAATACGGGAATCAGGAAGAGTTCTTATAGGGTAACAACACCAGCGTGCCCTGCAAGAGATCGTACTGATTGTATTCGAAGCACCGCAATGTGTTTTTGTCAACGGACTTGTTGATTGTTCAGGGTTCTACTGATTTTATCAAGAAAATTTGCAGGTAAGTTGGCGTCGAGATTCGACAATCAAACTACTTAATGATTGACAAGGTCGTCCCAGCCTTCTGGGTTGGTATCATTGGGCTATTTATCCGCATCGACGATTTACACATTTTTCATCCGTGCTATGGTAAGACTGAATGGGATTATGTTAGCGTTGAGTGCATTGATTAGTTCCTAAAGATCCATTTATGCTTGGACTAAAGCGTATTTGGTGATGGTCAGTTCATTTGGCTACTATCACCGCTGCACGGCTGCACCGCTGGGATGTGCGACAGGGGCCCATCGATAGGGTTCAGTCCCGAACTTTATTAAACGTCGTCCCAAGCATGTGGGTAAGCTGAGAAAATTTGCTTCCTGTTCTCGAAGTATGCTGCAGAATGAAATGATATGTACGGAGTAGCCATTGTCAATTTTGAGACTGGAAAGTGGCATATTACCACAAACAACAAACATCCAGGATACGCGAGATGCAGCCCTCGAGAATTCACCGTCCCTACGTAGATTGGAGCATACCACTGGAATTCGGTGCAGGCAATCCTTGCAAAATGAGGGGTGCGACATTGATATCTCATCTTGTGACCCAACTGGCTCGCCATAGAGCGGAATGTCAGGCAGGTGGCTAAAACGTAGCATTCGTATTCATAAATCGGTCCAGAGGACAGCGAGAGGAGTTGGTCTTCAATTTCTACAGAAGAGACTGAAATGGAGACATGAGCACAACATCAGTCGCCCGCAGGTCGTGTTGGAGCCTGCCGCTTTGCTCCTTATTTACTTCACGCTCCTGCCGAAGAATAAAGGGCAGAATCCATCTTCCCGCTCGAAAGATGCAACTTGTCGTTTGCTGGCGCATCCATCCATCTCCCACGCACGCTGCAGACTGGCAGTTCCAGCATTGACAAGCAGTCCTTTTGTTCCACACCGGTTTTCCATGGTTGCCAGTGATTGGGAGCCGCCATCACGACTTTTGGCCAGCCCGACCTGGGGAGACCTGGCCTCCCACCCAACTCCAGGATGATGGGAGCCCCAGTCGCTGCACACGCCGCTAGCAGGCAATTGCATTCAAAATGTGAGGTGTGGCTGTCTGGCTTTTCCTGGCAAGTTGGTGCTTGGGATCGGTAATTTTGAATTCAAATGCGGCCTGGTACTGTACGCGGATGTTCGAGGTAATGCCCCCAGCGTTGTGAGAGACAATAACGGATAAGAAGCAAATATACACCGTCAGGCAGCGAGGCTGGCCATGGCTTTTCACTGACACATACCATAATTTCCCTTTCCCATCTCTGGCTAATGAGTTTTCAGCGGAGAAGCCCGACCACCAGCTTGTACTGCGTGCTGCGAAACGGAGAAGGATCGACTCTGCAATAGATCTTATTCGATGAGTTCAACGGAAGCATGGTAGCGGCCTCACAATCTTGCCTAGCACGTTTTTGACGGTTAGTCCCATGTTATTTTGTTATCTCACCTTCGGTCGTGCGTAGGGCAAAAGCTCCCCGAGCTGATTTTCCTTTCTTAACATATCATTGTGGTTGCGTAGAACGGCGGCTCCATGGCTTTCAAACGCACACGGTATGCTTCGGGTACTGTATGGGTCCAATGGTGGGAAGCCGGCGGATGGCTGCTTAAAGCAGTTCCTTTGTTCCCTTGGATTCGTCAAGTGGCACATTTAGGGCACTCAATCAAACGAATAACAAACCGTTGGCTGTCAAACTAACCAACAAAGCCGCGATATTCTTGATCATCACAAGATAGAACAACCAACTACTAGACATGCCGATCAAAATTTTCAACAACAAATTAAGTTTCGATTACTCCAGAATAAATAAATACCTGCACAAACGCGACTACCATACCAGCGGATGATTGATGCAGCCAAGTTTCATGTAGCAGTCGTATTCAACTTTCTTTTCCTTTCATCTGATTGGAACCCGCTGGGACGTCCACCCCCGGTAATCACTCTCTGGGAGAATAAATACCCCCATCAGGCATGATCGTGGAAACAGAGGTTGCCAGTCGGCGAGGCGAGAAAAAAACCCGCCGTTATAAGATGAATCGTGAGGCTGCAGCCTTGTTGGGAGGAGCGATCCTTATCTGTTTTGAGGATATATCTTTCTCAGCACATGCAGTTGGCATATCTGTTGCTGCTCGCTGCATAATCGCGCGCATTTTTGAACAATTTTGGACTTTGCGCGACCCAGCCATACATATGGAGTGCGGAAGCCGATCCCGAATTAATGCATATCCAAAACACCCGTTCTTCACCCCAAGCATTGGCGCAACCCATGGGCTAAATTCAAGGTTTAGTGGGTTTGGATACCATGTGCTGTTCGGGAATAAAAAGTCACGTAGTGCATGAATGCTTCTATAGGGTCTCTCTCTCACACCAGAGAAGGGCCGATCAAAAAGGCCCACTATCAAGGATAGTTTCCCTGAAGGGTATTTTCCTTTCATTATTTTCTCCCCTATGATAATTCCCCCCCCGCAGTTCTGGTGGTTGAATATTTTACTCCTGTACCTGGCTGATAATGAAACGAAAGATCTGGTTTTTTTTAAGGGGCAGCAGCCGAAACACAGGAATGTTGAGTGGAATACCGCCAAAGTTGTGTGGCGTCTCGTAGCTGCAGCCACTTGCCCCATCTCACATCCACAACCAACAACGGGCTCTTGGACGCGCACATACCGAAGTGACAAACTTGGTTGAGGCCACATGGAATGAGGGAAGCGTAGGCACTGTACTCCCGTAAGGGAGTTACATGTCCTGGACATGTGGTGCAAATATTTCTCCGTTTCGCATCACGGATATGCGCTCTCATTTACGAATTAAATATGTGTGGTTTAGTTAAGCGTGCCTCACTTTCCCTCTGTCAGCGAACACTTAACTCCCAAACATCGCGCCAACCTACTCCGTACACTGTGGGTAATGAATGAGAAATAGCAGGACTTGCAGATCGTCGTAACTTGGAATATCTCAATTCATGCTCTGGAACTCTATTCCACAAATATGAGGATTCCATTGAATAATTGATTGTCAAGATGATATCCAAACAAAAGCTGCGGTAACTCCATACCCCATGCGCATGCGGACTGCACGAACTACACCGTTCAATTAATGTTCCCATCCGTTTGGTAACCCAGGAGCTCACTGGCGCCCACCAAAGAAGGAAAGCAAAACTTAGACTTGAGCCTTGCTACAATGGTTGGTGCTAATCGACATTGATATTCCAATGCCAAAATGGTTACTAAGGTACTGCCGGGCAGTCCTTGACTATGACCTCTGACAACGTCTGCCTACGAAGATAGAGAACTGTCGAGGCAGAGAAAGACGAGAGCGGAAAGCGGCGTCCAAAATACATTTCCCAAACCTTGATTTATTAAACGCTTCCCGCTTGAGTGCGGTCTAAGTTTTCAGAATCTATTCGTCATTGGAGCGGCAAATGGACCCGGAGTCAATCACTGTTAGTTACATTTTACGCAGTATGTGGGAAGAGGGACTGAAAGAAGCTATTCGGGAGTGTCACATTTGAGGGGCAAAACCCAAACTGTGGTTTCCTGGACAGGGGACCCCTAAGCTAAGCTGTTCGCATGATGTGGGGATGAGGAGGAGATGCTGAGCATCCCCAGAACCAAGCCGCCTATTAGAATAATCAAAAAATAATGCTTCCGCGGGCTAGAGGACGGCTAA